GGGGGGGAGCTGGGCGGGGGGGGGCTGTGTCTCACCGATGTCCTTCCGCCGGCGCGGAACTGAAGTGCCGTGGTGCTGGTGCCCGGCCGGGAGGCTGCGCACCGGAGATGGCGGCCGCGGCGGGCGGAGGCGGGTTGAGGCAGGCGGCCGCTTGGCAGGTGGTGGCCCGTGGGTTGGGGGTTCGGTTCGGTTCGGGCGCGACGCGGCACTGGCTGTCAGGCGCTCCGCCTGCGGCGGCGGGGGGGCGTCCCCCGTGAAGCGATGAGGGGCGGTGGGGAGCGGCCATGGCGGCCGCCGCCGAGGGGGGGGGAAGGAGAAGCGGGGGGGTGGCTTCACCCCGCTGCCAGCTTCGCCCCCTCGCCCGGTCGGCGCTTCCCCTGAGAGGAGAGCGCGGCCGTTGGAAAGGCGGAGGAGCCCGCGGGCGCCCGGTGTCAGCACAGTCTGCTCTTCAGCCGCCGAGAGACGTGATAAACGCGGGATATGTGCTCACCCGGTCTGAGCGTGAGCGGCTGTGTAACCCGTTCGCAAGTCTGAAGAGCTGTAAGGAAAGTCCCGACGAGTTGTGTCCTGATCTCTTTGCAGATGCTGGGGAAGAGGATGGAGGGGATGGCGTCTGCAGTGTGGGCTCGTTGTCTCTTTACCAGGTCGAGAATTCCAGACTCGGTATGTGCTTCAGTAGTTGAGAAAGTGAAAAATAGGTATTAGCCTGCTTAATTCTGTGCTGTCTGTGGTATGACAGCTTTCTAGAGACTGTGGGATAAGCGGGTTTATGGTGCGCTGGGTGAAGAACTGGCTGAACGGCAGGGCTCAAAGGGTTGTAGTGAATGGGGCTACATCTGGCTGGCGGCAGGTCACCAGCGGTGTTCCTCAGGGTTCAATTCTAGGGCCAGTTCTGTTCAATATCTTTATCAATGATCTGGATGCAAGAGTTGAATGCAACATTAGCAAGTCTGCTGACAATACCAAACTGGGAGGTGCTGTCGACTTTCTCGAGGGACAAGAGGCCTTGCAGAGGGCCAGACTGGAGCACTGGGCAATCCATCAATGGCATGAAATTTAACAAGAACAAATGCTAGATTTTGCACCTGGGACAGAGTAACGCCAGGCACAAGTATAAATTGGGAGAGGAGTGGCTGGAGACCAGCCCTGCGGAAAGGGATCTGGGGGTGCTGGTTGGCAGCAGGCTCAGCATGAGTCAGCCGTGTGCCCTGGCGGCCAAGAGGACAACTCGCACCCTGGGGTGCATCAAACACAGCATGACAAGCTGGTCAAAAGAGGGCATTATCCAGCTGTATTCAGTGTTGGTGCAGCCTCACCTGGAGTACTGTGTGCAGTTCTGGGCTCCAGAATTTAAGAAGGATGTTAAAAGTCCTTGAATGCATCCAGAGGAGGGCATCAAAGCTGGTGAAAGGGCTGGAAGACATGTCCTATGAGGAGTGGCTAAGGACTTTGGGCTTGTCTGGTTCAGAGAAGAGGAGGCTGAAGGCGACCTCACTGCTCTCTACAGCTTCCTGACGAGGGGACATGGAGAGGGAGGTGCTGATCCCTTCTCCCTGGGATTCAGTGATAGGACGCGTGGGAACAGGTCAAAGCTGCGCCAGGGGAGATTCAGACTGGACATTAGGAAGCATTTCTTTACCAAGAGGGCGGTCAAACACTGGAGTCGATGTCCCAACCCTGTCAGTGTTTAAGAGGCATTTGGACAGTGCCCTTAACCTGCTTTAACTTTTGGACAGCCCTGAAGTGGTCAGACAGTTAGACTAGATGGTTGTTGTAGGTCCCTTCCAACTAAAATAGTCTATTCAATAAATAACTAAAACCAAAGAGATTGGAAGTTTGACTTGCATTGTACATTTTTACATTTATATTTTTAGCTTATATTTTTGCAAGATACCATCTAGTATTAGTTGACTCTTTTCCTTAAAATCATTCTTAAAGCCTTTGGAAAAACTTACTGTTCAGAGGCTAAGTAGAGGTTCTTCAATGAGATGCATGTGAATTAAGTGCTGTGCTGGCATAGTGTTGTCCATGTATTTCTATGCAGTTGTACAGCCAAACTCAAGAGTGCAAACGTTTATAAAAGTATGTTTGACTTAATCCTATAAAAGCTAAATTTGAGGTTGCTTGTTGGTGCTTTGACCTTCTGAAAAGAAATGCAGCTAAACATGTAAGAATTTTTACCACGGTTGAAATATGTTTTAGAAAGTTATTTTGTTAACTGTAATAATTCAGATATTTAGGAAAAAACCCTCTGTTTTTGTGAACTTTTTATTCTAGGTATTTCAGCCGCAGCCTGGAGATCATGAAAAGTATGGAGGTGACCCTGAGCAGCCCCACAAAATCCATGTTATTACTAGAATAAAAAGTGTAATTGGTCGCCCGTATTGGGAAAAGAAGATAATAAAAGATCTTGGACTGGATAAAGTATGATTGTTGTTCTTCATACTTATTGTGTACATCAGAAATGTGTAAACATAGGGTAGAATTAAGGTGGCAGGTTTTTTTAAGGACCTCAGTTTTGCAGTCACAGAACTCAGATTGCTTTACAGCTGCTATAAAATAAATGTAATTGAGAAATCGATGACGCAGTTAAGAGGTGAGAAGAACATTAATGGCAAATGCCTATTTAGTGGGAATTCAGAATATCACTGTATGGTATTTCTGTGCCTGCCTGAGGAGAACCTTACCTTGAGAATTCTGCTAAAATAATAAAAATAGATTTGTAAATTCATTGAGTTCAATTTTCACTATGGTTCATATTTTTCAGATATTGCAGGTAGGCAAATAAGACTCATTTATTATTGAAAATGCTTCCAAATCGGATGATAAATTTTCAAACAGACTCTTAAGAGTTTGTGTCAAAGATGTGTGTATCCAAATTTTTCAGGCCAATTGCACGTTGTGCAAAAATTTGTCTAGTCAGTGTTATATTACAGAGAAACAATGTTTGCTTGATCAATTTAATATCTAACTGAAGCAAGCAGTCTTATTCCTCAACTACTGTATTTACACTTACACTATTTTTAATAGTTGGAAGATATATGAATATACTGATAATATAATGGGAATAAATCTGGATTTGTCATTTTAATGGAATCAAGAGTTTGATCAAGTTTTGATTTTGTATTTTTATGTATGTTCTTGATGCATAATTTTTCTCTAAATCTTATATTTGCAAATACGGTTTGTAGTTTTACTGATAGTGTGAAAAGTTTAGTGAACAGAGATTTGGGGTTTGGCAATGCATTTGTAAAACCTATTCTGTCCTTTATATAGGCGCATCAGCCAAGACTGCACAAAAATATCCCTTCTGTGAATTCCAGGCTGAAAGTTGTTAAACACCTGATAAGGTTTGTTAACTTTTTTTTTTAATTTGGAATACTTAATGTAACTCTCTTCTAGCCATAGGACTTTACTAAGCAAACTCTTTTGCCTGTAGAATACAGCCACTGAAACTGCCTTATGGGTTGCCAACAGAAGAGGAAATGTCGGACACCTTTCTTACGAGCAATGGAGAGCTTGTCATTAAACGGCATCTGAAACCTGTGAAGCAGAAAGAAATTAAGTCATAAGGTGTGCTGGTTGGATTTATATTTTATAAAATAAATAATTTAACTCCCAAGTTAAGAGTTTGTCTATGAAATGTAAGCTTACTTCTTACTGTGTCTGGTGTGAGTAACGGAGGTGACACTGATGCTTAAAGAAGGATTACATGTGTACAAATATAAAATTAAGTGTTGGTAATGTTTGCCTGAAATATTAAATGAATGATAGGCTTTCTGTCCTTGTGTTTTAATTTTGTGGCTACATTACTGCAGTTTATGGCTAGCTATTGGAAAACTTTATAAAAGTCAGATAAGCAGCGAAGTAAGTAGACTAGATCTAACTAATGATAGTGAGGACGTTTCCCAGCTAACAGTAAAGGTTTACAATGGTGGTGCATGATGTCACCTTCACTGCGCAAAGGAAGGAACTGGAATTGAAAAGCTCTCTGTTTACCAGTTACACGAGAATTGACTGGCTGTCCACCAAGAGTGTCGTTTGATTGAGGCAGGCATTTGGGTGACTTACCTTGGTCATCCAGATCTCACGCTTGTTCCTTAGCCAACAGTCTGGCCTCCTCTGTAGCTTAAAAAGTACCTGAACTCTCCATTTGGGAATAACAGAAGGAGTGATTCACATCTTGGTAGGTTGTATAATTTGTTTTTCAGGAAACATGCTATCTTGCTTCATATGTATTTCTTGATCCTAAATCATGTTTAAACACTACTATGTTTAATAGTAATAGCCTAAGAGCTGCAGTCTGTGTGAAAGTTGATGCTTTTCCTGTTCTAAAATTGCAAACTTTAGAAATCTGGAGATCCGGAAGCATACCTCTTTAATGCAAGTTAGTAATTACGGGCTGCAAGTTTATAAAATAATACTTTTTACTGAAAGATCTTGAATAGCACTGTGTGAATATTTTTATTTACAGTTTTAAGAATTGTGGCGAAAGTTAGGAAGCTGCTGCTGTATCAAATGATAAAGTAGTTTTCATTCCCGTGAGCATAAATTCCATAGTTTACCACAGTGTGAGCCTCTCCCACACTAGACACGCTCTAGAGGAGTTAATGACTCTATGTTGTGAGAAGATCAGAGGGATACAGTCGCTGAAAATGAGTGTTTATCCTTTCTGCATGCTTGCAGAGAAGAGTAAACACCAGTAGGAGTTCAAAGGAATAGAGATAACAGTAGAGGGACATGAAAGCTGGAAGCACTGTGTGCAGAGGAAAAAGAAGGATAGGCTGTGGTAGTGGCATTGAAGAGTGTAATGGTTCCTTCAGACAGGCTGAAGGCAGAAACGCAAAATTGGGCTGAAAAAACTCAATTTTCTCAACAAGCTGTGGGCTGTAGTGGGAAGGACACAGAAAATACTGGTGTCAGTCTGAAGTATATAGAATAGCAAGGAAAAAGTGAAGCAGATAAATGAATGTTGCTTTTCTTCCCTCCCTCCTTCCTTCCAGTATCTGCATAGCATCTTGCACAGCAGTGAGTTTAACTGCAGTCTCTCTGTGGTGTTGATCATGTTCCCACAGGAAGGTACTCAGGACAAGCTGAAATTTCAGCCCCTTTGAAGGACATGTGTAGTGCATCCAAGCTATAGGGCATGCTTAAAAGGATGGCACAACTACTAGGGCCCAGAAAATTAGGCAAGTGGGCCTTGTTGCTGAGGGATAGCCAATGCAAGACTAGTACCAGGATTGGTGGCCCGGACCACCATGGCCAAGATCACTCAGCCTTACCCAGCACATTCAGGATTTGCGTCCACAGCACTACAGCCTGGTGAATCTCAAACACAGGGAGCGCTGCCGGTTCTGTCATAGACAGCATGTATGTGAATATGGATCTTCTGTTCATTACACTATGCAGATGCTACAACCTTCGAAAGTACTGCAGTGTAAACTGGAAAGAATGTGTTAATGAACAAACTTGCTTGGTACTGTGCACAACTTAAAAGTGTGTGATAAACTACCTAAGTTAGAGCAGAGCTAACTACTCCTCAAATATAGAGAATGGAAAATGCTTTAGATAGTATATGTTATTTCTGGGTAAGATTTAGCTACAAGAGCTGTTTACAGCTGTCTTTAATTGAAAAGCTGGCAGTTTTAATGAAAAAGGAAATTGTATTTTCTTAAAATCTTTAATACATGTGTAAGTTTGGATGTTTCTGAAATTGTATTTCCTCCAAGGTCACAACTGTCATACAGTCAATCCGCTATCCTAAACCTCTTTGTAGGGCATACGTTCTCTAAAGATTTCCTCTCAGGTCTAAGACCTGAACCAACAGGGTGCACAAACACAGTGTGTGTCCACATACTTTCATTAATGCAGCATTGTAAATGCTTCATGTAAATCTTCATGAAGCACAGGTAAGAGATGCTGCCAGGGAACAAACAGGCTGCCTTAAGATGATAGCAAAATTCAGGTTGGAAGGTACCTTACAGGTCCCTAGTCCAACCTCCTGCTCAATGCAAGGCCAGCGCTGAGGTCAGACCAGGTTGCTCAGGACTTTGTCCAGCTGGGTCTTGAAAACCTCTGAGGACAGGGACAGGGCAGCCTGCTCTGCTGCCGGGCTGTCCTCACGGGGAATGGTTATATGTAGAATACAGTCTTGTATCCCGTCTCAACCTCTCCTCTTTCAGTTTATGCCTGTTGTCACTTCTCTTCCCACCTTGCACTACCAGGAGGAGCCAGCCTGGCTCCATCTCCTCAGTTATCCCTCACAGGTAGGTACTGTGAGGCTGCTGTTAGGTCCACCTGAAGCTGTCTCTTCTCATGGGGCAAGCGCTCTAGCCCCAGCCATCTTGGTGGCTCTCTGCTCTACTTAATTGGCCTTTCCTGGGTCAGGGGGCCCAAAATGACACTACTCTAGATGTGGTCTAACAAGTGCTTAGTAGAGGTGTGTAATCCCTTCCCTCGGTCAAGCTATGCTTCTGGTCATGCAGCCCAGGGTACCCTTAGCTGCCTTTTCTGACTCATGTTGAGCTTGCTTCTTGGGGAGGAACCATTTCCTGTGTCTACCTGCAGTAGCATTTAAAGTATATTCAAACAAATCTTTGGCGCAATACGTGGTAGCAATGTGGAAATGTATTGTTTTAAGAATAAATTTATTTCTGTGCTATTGTTCTGTTGCAGGTTCACTTACTGTTTCAGATTTGGTAATTAATACTGTCATGTGAGTAGATCAATACAATTCTAATAATAGCATCAGGATATATTTAATCACAGGTACAAAATACTACCTATAAAAAAATGCACCATATTTAAAACAACCAACCCACCCCCCTGTGCTCTTTGTTATTTCTCCTTTAGCCCCTAGTGATAACACTTGAGGGTTCTTTTAAACCACTTCAAACTACTTGCTTTTCTCCTGTGTGTCTTGAAATGGCTGAATGGACCCAACAACTCTGAAGCTAAGGTTCCCCAAAAGCTTTACTATGTGATTGATTAAAAGGATCTGTTTATTGTGCATGAACTTGCATCAGATTTTACAAACTACATGCCACTTTAAAAACATGATGAAATGTGCATATTCTTACTCCAGACCCTGCACTGAAGATAATATATAGCTTCAATAGAAGTATTCATTACAGCAGCTTGAGTTTTACAGATTGTTGCAACTGTAAAGGCTTAAAATGTAGTAGGAAGGGCAAAAAAAAGTCAAGGATAGCTTAGTATTTTCCCTCTTGTCACAATAAACAGCCACTTCGGGGTCACACCACCCAAGTTAAGAGCAAGTATTCTGAAAGATATGATACACTGTGATAGACTCTTCCAGTAGATTAAACATATGCAATATTTATTGCAAATGCTCAATTCCAAAATTGCAAGTTGTTAAAAACCAATTTTGTACTGCTGTTAGACATATGTATTGACAGATAAAAATCTAAGGCAGATAAAATCTTGTTAAGCAGTGTTACAACTTTCTTGCAAGCATTAATCTGCTGCTTGAGAAACTGCAAGCACAGATGAAAACTCTGCTAGAATATTCTCGTGAAGTGACATAAAAAATAAATGGCAAAAGATAGGTTGCAGTTTGGATTATTAGCAGTGTTACCTTTTAAAGTGATTTTTTTAGCCTTAGCTGAAAAAAAACCATTGAAAGCTTGCACTAGTTTCTGGCTTTATTGCCCTCCCCCATTCTTACTCTTTCTGGGGGAGAAATCCAGAATTTTTTTAATTAGAAGCAAAGTACACAACCAGTGACTCAAATCTAATCATCACTTGGGTATCTCAGTATCCATTTCTCTTATAAAACTTGGCTCTTGCCACCACATCGTTGGCATAGTCATTGTGGGTTGTGCCAATATCCATTCTATCATAGCTCTGGACGTTGTTAGCTCCCGCATTATAGGCTGAGATCCCACCTGAAATGCGAGTGAAAGACACACATAAACAGAGGTGATACTTCATCAGTAAATAAGCAAATAAAAATCACAATTTAAATGCATTGCTTTATTTTGTAGCTTTCTTTTCACGAGTACCGCTGGCCATAGTATTACCGTTTCCAGCTATTTTTGTCACTGAGGTGTTCCTTTTCTGTTTTAACTTTGTGAAGAAATCATAATTTCCTCCTTTACATCCGGACTTGGTGATCATTGTCCCCTTGCTGTATTTTGCTAATGTTAACATCTTCAGTTGTATGACTGTTCCCTTTTGTGCATATTCCTTCATGCCTACCCACATTAATAACCTCAGGCATATTTGTGTTGTAGTTAGAATACAGGGACCCAACCAGAACTGCTTCAGCTGTAATCGGTGCTCCAGAATACAAGGTTTCCTCCAGAGAGGACCATACGTTTTCAAAATTAATGTGTTCCTTCTTCAGAGTTGCCAGGATAGTAGCTTTTTGTAGGTGGGTATAGAAACACAAAACAAATGAAATGGAGAAGGTGGGGAAAAACCCACCCTTACTCCTTGCAACTGAAAAATGTCATTATATTTGCCAAGTTTTCCAAAAGCCTGCTAGAAAGCTAACCAACTCTTATTCCTCTATTCCTTTCAGTGAGTATTAAGGAATATTATTCCACGCCTCAATAAAACAAATAGAGGGACTGGAATGTGTTCAATTTTCTGAAGTGCTCGGTTTCACAGCGTTATTGCGCTTGACTTATATATGTGTGAAGTGTTTTAAAGCTGACAACACTCTACCTTTGAGCTGCTGTTCCTTTGTCCAACTTGGGAATTTCCTCTGGATTTCCTTTATCATCCCACATAAAATCTCTGTGCCTTGTGCTAAGTGCTCTTCACTGTCCCATGACCCGACAATCTTATGGTACCGTTTGTCAACCTGAAAGTGAGACAGCAGTATCAGCACACCAGAAACCCCGCTATTTATCCAGAGCTCTTCATTGCTTACAGGCTGCTTTTATTCATTTTGACCTTTAATCTCATGGTTTTTGTAATTGTATAGAGAGGAAGCAAGCTCAGCTCAAAGTGCAGGCGAAGCTCACAGATGTGTGAATAGCAGACTGTCGGGGCACTGAAGAGGAATGCCTGCCTCACCTCCTTGTCTGTCAGAGCCTTAAAAACCCAACACAGCTGCTGCTGTAAAGGTGACAGGGTGCAGAAAGTGGGTTTACTGCTGTTCAAGCTTTTCCAGCTGTAAGGTGACTGCCCCTCTTCTCCCCAGCTGCATCAAGGGTGGGAAAACCCCGGGTTTTTTTCTAGG